TTTGAGTAATAAAAGAAGCATTATTCCTTATGAAATTATGCATACTGATGTGTGGGGGCCATATCATATTCCTGCTATGGGGGAATATAAGTATTTCTTACTGTTTGTTGATGATTACTCCCATTTCTCATGGGTTTATCTTATGCGTTCTCGTGATGAGGTCCCCAATTTGACTTGTGCTTTTCATGTTCTCACTCAATTTAGAGTTAAAATCAAAATTTTCAGATCTAAGAATGCCAAAGAATACTTCACTAAACATTTGAATTCATATTTTCTTTATGGGGTTGTTCACCAAAGCACTTGTCCTCATACACCTCAGCAAAATGGGGTGGCTGAGAGAAAAAATAGATACATCTTGGAAGTTGCAAGAAGTATTATGCTGAATTCTAATGTCCCTATTTGTTTTTTGGGGGATGCTATTCATATAGTTGTGTATCTCATCAATTGAGTTCTTTCCCGTGTTCTGGTTATGAAAGCCCATATTACATTATTGCATCCTAATAAAGATTTGTTCACCATCCCTCTTAAAGTCTTTGGGTGCACTTGTTTTGTTTACATTTTGGGACATCATCATTCTAAGTTGGATCCTAAAGCTGCTAAATGTATATTCCTCAGTTATGCACAAAATCAAAAGGGATATTGCTACTATGATCCTCGTTCCGACTCTCGTTTTGTGTCCATGGATGTTACTTTCATTAAGGATGTACCTTAATTACCTATGGGTTTCTTCTCAAGGGAGAATAGTGAGAAGGATATTCCTAGTCTTAAAGTTCCTTTGCCTATTCCTATCCTTAAAGGTGAGTTGTGTAATGAGGGGGCTTGTCAAAGGTGTAAGGAGTTGAGGGTCTTTCACAGGAGGTGGAGGCAGGTTGATTTTGGTGCTCATGATTAGTCCAGGTCGGTTCCTGTCACTTCTGCAGTTCCAGATTCATGTACTACCACCTCCTTTCCTATTAATACATCACTCTCACTTCCAAATTCCTTACCTCATCCTCCTCCAAATGACCTTGATCTTCCCATTGCAATCCACAAAAGGAAGCGTCAGTGCATTTCATCTATTGTCCATTGCATCTCTCAATTCATCACCTATGATCATCTCTCACCATCCTATAAATCCTATTTGGCAGCTAACTCTATTGTATCTATTCCTAGAACTGTCCTGGAAGCTCTTGTGGTACCTGAGTGGAAGAATGCAATGAAGGAAGAGATGGATGCCCTCATTAAGAATAAGACTTGGGAGCTAATAGACAAGCCAAAAGGGAAGAAGCCAATTGGGTGCATATGGGTGTTCATTGTGAAGCATAACACAAATGGTTTAGGTGAAAGGTAATAAAGCCCAACTGGTTGCAAAGGAGTATACTCAAACTTATGGCATTGACTACCTAGAAACCTTTGCACCTGTAGCCAAGATTAATACCATTAGGATTCTGTTATCCCTTGCAGCAAATTTTTCATGGATTCTGTTCCAACCTAGATGTCAAGAATGCTTTCCTTAATGGTGATTTGCAAGAGGAGGTGTATATGGAGTTACCTCCTGGGTTCTATGAAGAAGCTGTAGAGAAGAAAGTTTGCAAATAACAGAAATCTTTATATGGTTTAAAACAACCTCCAAGAGCCTAGTTTGACAGGTTTAGATTGGCACTAGAAAGCTTTGGTTATGTACAATCCTACTCCAATCATACTCTCTTCATTAAGAGAAATGGTGCTTCTCTCACCCTTCTTGCAATGTATGTTGATGACATTGTAGTGACAAGCAATGATATTGATGAGATTTATTCATTTAAATAGTTGCTTAATAAGGAATTTGAAGAGAAAGACTTAGGTGACCTATGATATTTCTTGGGAATTGACGTGGGCCACTCTTAGACATGGTATCTTTATCTCACAGAGGAAATATGTCCTTAATCTCCTTAAGAATATTTATCAAAAAAAATATTGGGAAACTGGAGTTTGCAGTCAAATAAGACTACAATCAGTCCTAGTTTTAGTGTTCAATTAACAAGAGGATAAGAGAAGAGAGGAGAAGAAGAGAAGAAGAGTTCGAAGGGGAGATTTAGAAAAGGAGAGAATTGTAGATCTGCCGCCCCTCTCTTACTATTTATATTAATTCTCAAATAAAGATAAAAGGGCTGAAATGCCCTTACTGCTTACATGGCAAAAAATAAAAGACTAATAATTATAGACTGACTGAAATAACTACCAACTACTAACTAACAACTAACTGCTGACTATAGTCATATGAGTACAGTATAGTGGGGACCACACCAGTGTTCTCTACACTCCCCCTCAAGTTGAGAATAGATGTTTGTCATTCTCAACATGCATAGATCCGCTTCTAACTTGTTCTTTGAAACCGCCTTGGTGAGAAGATTGGCAAGCTACATGTGAGAGGTGATATATGGAAGACATACTTCTTGAGATGCAACCCTTTCTCTAATAAAATGCCGATCCACTTCAATATGCTTAGTTCTATCATGTTGTATCGGATTATGGGCTATATTAATAGCAGCCTGATTATCACAGTACAACATTAGGGGTTTCTCATAGGCAATACCCAACTCTTCAAACAGTGATTTCAACCATAGTATTTCAACCACACCATTTGCCATAGACTGATATTCAGCTTCAGCACTAGAACGAGAAACAACATTTTGTTTCTTACTCCTCCAGGAAACAAGATTACCTCCTACAAAAGCACAATATCTAGAGGTAGACCTTCTATCATCAACACACCCAGCCCAATCAGCGTCTGTATAAACTTCTATCTTCATGTGATTATTATCCTTAAATAGTACACCTCTGCTCGGACACCTCTTCAAATATGCCAATATCCTCTCAACAGCAAGTAGATGAGTGGTTCTAAGAGAGTGCGTACACTGACTAACAACACTGATTGCATATCTGATGTCTGGTCGTGTGAGACAAAGATAGAGAATTTTTCCAACTAACCGTTGGAACATAGCTTTATCTTCAAGAGACTCTTCACCTTCTGCATTGATCCTGTGATTCTGTTCAATAGGTGTGTCAGTTGGCTTAACACCCAACTTTCCTGTTTCCTCCAACAAATCAATGAGATACTTCCTTTGAGAAACAAAGATCCCATGCTTGGACTGAGCTACCTCAATACCCAAGAAATATCGTAGCTCTCCCAGGTCTTTTACCTCAAACTCTTGATGAAGAAGTTGCTTAAGAGACTCAATCTCACTGTTATCACTTCTTGTCACTACAATATCATCCACATATACAACAAGCAGAATCCACCTTCTTAATAAACAAAGTGTGATCTAACTAAGCCTACACATAGCCAAACTTTTCAAAGGCTTGTCTAAATCTTTCAAACCAAGCTCTAGGGGACTATTTTAGTCCATACAAGGCTTTATTCAGCCGGAAAACCCTCCAAAGAGTTCATCATTTTCTTTATTATCCAACATCTCAATATTGTCAATTACCTCTTGTTTTTTCTCTTCTAATATCCCAAATTGTTGTGCATTCCAAATTCCAATTCTTACTTTCACCTCTTTAAGCTTATGCTGAAATTTCATACCCTCCCACTTATCCCTAGTATTAATCTCCATCCACCAGTCCTTTACCTTTTCTCTAAAACCTTGGTGACTAAGCACATGTTCTCAAACCGAAACGGGGCTGGGCCATTTCCTCTTAACTCAACCTTGGATAAGGAGACAGGCCAGTGATCAAAGGTTAACCTAGGTAGAGCCAGTGAGACCAGCCCTCCCCAGTGGGCTTCCCAATCCATTGTAAATAAGAATATATCAAGCTTAGAGCAAATTGGGTTTGATTGCATACTAGACCAGGTGAAGTTACTACTCACAAGGGGCAACTCCTTCAATTCGCAATTGTTTATGAATTCATTAAACTTCCTCATAATTGTGGTTACCCTTTGTCTCATCTTATTAGACTCCTCAACAAATCTTATCACATTGAAGTCCCCTCCAATACACCATGGTCCATTCCACAATCCCCGTATATCTTCAAGCTCTTCCCACATTTCATTCCTCTCCCTATACCCATTAGGTCCGTAAATGCATGTTAACACCCATTCAAAACCATCATCTGCATGTTGAAATTTCAGAGACACTGTAAACTTCCCCATCAGTTCCTCTTTTCCCAGCAACATGTTCTTCTTCCATAGTACCACCGTACCACCTGAGAATCCCCATGACGGTGACATTGCCCAACCTATGCCCATAAACCTCCATATGTTTCTGGCCCATCTGTCATCAAATGTCGAAAGCTTAGTCTCTTGCAACAAAACAACATCTGGCTTCTTCTTCTTCAACAATTCCTTTATCATGGCTCTCTTCCTCGCACTCCCTAAACCTCGAACATTCCAACTGATCATTTTCATCAATTCACTCTGATTTTTGTATCCATTGCCTCAGCCCCTTGATTTACTTGCCCCCTCTTCTTCTACCCTTCCTCTCACTAAACTCCCTATCTCCCTCCACATCAAACTTTTGCCTCTCTACCTCACTCATCTTCCTTTTTCTCACCTTCACCTCAGTTTTCTTGGTCCTTAGATAAGTTTTTTAGGTCCTTAGGATTCTTCACCTTACATCCTAATTTCTCCACATTATTTTCTTCCCTGTTTTCTTCCTTTTTGTCAGCCACCAAAACTACCCCCTTGTTCATATCTCCCTCTACTATGGTAGCATTTGCCTCCTCAATTTTCTCCTTATTCCCTGTGTATCTACTTTCCTCTAGCTCCTTCCTCGTCATTTCTTCCAAATTTTGTTCAATTAAATCCCAAATTCTTTCTCCCATCTCTTCTTCAAATTCTTTCTAGTTCAAATTCTTTCTACTTTTAAAACGTAAAAAGACCTGATTACACCTAAGCATGAATGTCACCCCTAATGAACTAACCTGTACAATTCACCATAAAATCAATACACATGAACATATATTTGTATTCCATATTTGTAATTTCTTCATTTTTATACTCATACTCAACAAATAAAGTAAATAAGTTGGAAGGTAGGTACCCTGTCATTCCAACTCACAAACGGGTTGAAGTGTACTCCTACACCAATTTCATCAGCAACTTCAGTAATCTAACACAGTCAAGCAAAGAATAAAATATGATAGAAGTTAAGAACAGAATGAAACAAAAAATAGATCATGAAATATTTAACAAAAATACAAAAAAAAAGAGACAAGTAATACCAGTTTTGAACCACCAAGGTGCACCATCCATGACGCATAGTGGTCCTTGTTCATTTCCAGATTCTAGTTTGCAACAACCAATAAATCAAGTCCAGGTGAGTCTTAAATGGTCCAACCAAGTTCTCTTCATTTTACATAAGAAAAAGGACGAAATATTTGTAAACCAAAATTTACCTCAGAATGCCATTGCATTGGATCTGAAACACCAAGAATATAGTCTACCATGGTTTTCTACCAAAAAAAACATGGAAGCAAAATGAAACTCAACAAAGGAAAATGCAGTTTCCCTTTAGCAGAATGAAAAGAAGACAAAGAAAAACAAGTTGGGAAACAAGAGAGAAAAATGGAGCACCTTGTCATGACTATTAGTAAGAAGAGATGAGCCATAAACACAGCAGAATTCAACACGAGGAAGAACATCAAGAAGGCTTGCAAGTTCTTCTCCATTCTCCATTTTTTGCTCAACACCAGAACCCATTTTTCTACTGAACAGAAACATAGAAATTAAATTAAAGCTCTCCCTTTTTCTTTCCATAGTAAGGTAAAGAGAAGAGAAGACTTTTATAAATATATGAGTTAATAAAAGGATGAGAAAATTTTGGGGTTAAAAAAAATCAACTATAAGATGGAAATAGGTCTCTCACACAACAGAAAATTTGAAGACTAAAATGGATTTGTCATGCCGACTGGGTCATCTTATACACTGCCAACTAAATTGAACTGGCTAGATCAACTAATCACTTCCTACAACCTACACCCAACGGTTACCTAATTCAAGTTCATGGATATGATTAGCTAAAACATTCAGAAAGCAAAAGCTTTGTGTGGATAGATGTTTATGGGGTACTTTTGCATGCCTGGAGCACTCAAACATTCAAGGAAGTGGGAAATGCCAGTGGTAGATTTAAGCGATTTGACTTAGTAACAGATTGTGGGAGCAGGTACAGTTTGCACGAATCTTAATCAAAACAGAAGACGTTAAATCCATTCCTGCTCTGCTAGACTTGTTATATGCAGGAGAAGCTTTCCTGTTACATATAGTGGTGGCAGGTAGTGATCCCACTTTTATCCTTGTCAATGAAGCAGAAGTTCCTAAAGCAGAAGGGAAGGTGGAGATTGAAATTCCTAATTAGGGTTTCGGTGTCAAAGCAAGAAGTTGAAGGAGAAGTCGAGGGGTCGAAGAGAGGAGGAAAACAAATTGTAAATTCAAAAATTGATAGACGCAGAGGTGAAAAACAAAAGTAAAAAGGCTTGGAGTTAAGTGGGCCGAGTAGAAGTACTACTATGGGTCGAGAAAGTTAAATGAGTCCACTGGAGATGCTGATAAGAATTGCCATTACTTACTTGAGTATTGGAAAGAGAATTTCAGGAACCTTGGTTACGATCTAATATCAGAAGTTCAGAATCACCGTTACTTACGATCTACGGTCGGCTTGTGCAAATAAGTGGCCCACCGGACACTATTATTTTCTCAGAGGGTTTTCAACAAACAAGTGCCATTCAGATTACTGTTATGTTGTAATCATATTACATCCAGAAACCAAAACGGAAGCATCAAAACGGTAGAAGACAAACATATACTCAACTTCTACGAAAACCAAAAGAACTTACTTCCTTTTAAGCTTTTGGGTGGCGTCAAGAGCTTCAAATGGGCGTTTATTATTTAGGGGGGAAGTAAAAAAGGGTCGGGATCCTCTATTTTCTCCTTTCTATCCAGTATTCACATTGATGATAATCCCAACAAGGGAACGACACTGTTCTCAAATACAAGTCACAAGTCCCCATGCATGCAAATACATGAAGTTCAGAATGTCATTGCATTGGACAAATTTTTCCCAAAAAAAAATTGGAGAATTAAAATTTTTAAGTTAAAGTTCTGAACAAATATGAGAAGCCAAATAAATTTATCAAAAAAAAATATGAGAAGCCAAATAACAGTTTCAGAGCTCAAATATCGCTAAACATAAAACAATAAGATAATCAAAGAAAAAAAGAAAAATTGGAGGAAAGACAACCTCGCTGTTAGTGGCAACAGCTCGTCTTTAGATTGTCTCTTTGAAAAAGGAATCACCACAAGGAACTCCATTTTTTTCCCGCTGCTTCTCTAATCTTTGAAACTCCGACTCCGACCATGGCGTATAGTCTCTCCTCCTAGCTCCACTCGTTCTCCAGTATCCACCTCTTCGTTCTATCCCCGTGCTAATGTATTGTAGTGTATTCTTGCATCTCCTTCATTTTTTATTTTTTCATGAAGAATATTATGTACAGTTGTAATAGTTAGTTAGTTGTGTCAGCAGTACTTTCTTGTTACTTAGTCCGTTATTCTGCATCTATTTATAGATGTACTGTGGAGCTAATTAATCAACACACACAGATGCGATTTTATTTCTTCTTTGGTGCTCCCTTGCATCTATGTTTGCTTTGATCTTGTTCTTGAATATTTTCTTCTATTTCTGATCAATTTTCTTCTGTTTCTGATCATGGTATTAGAGTTGTGGTTCTGAATCTTGTGTGCTATGTTGGAGTAATCTGTATTTATAGATGTACTGTGGAGCTAATTAATCAACACACACAGATGCGATTTTATTTCTTCTTTGGTGCTCCCTTGCATCTGTGTTTGCTTTGATCTTGTTCTTGAATATTTTCTTCTATTTCTGATCAATTTTCTTCTGTTTTTGATCATTGTATTAGAGTTGTGGTTCTGAATCTTGTGCGCTATGTTGGAGTAATCTGTATTTGAAATTTTTTCTTGCTTCGAGAGTATTATCTTTGCGAAGATGACTGACAGAAGTGCGAGTACAGGAGATGGAAACCAGGCTTCGTGCAATCATTCGGTGAAGACGTCAATGCAGTTGCACTCGTCCGATCATCCTGGTATAAGTCTCGTAACTAATCCACTTAACATGAACAATTACATGATTTGGAGTAGGTCTTATGAGAATTGCTTTAAAGGCCAAGAATAAATTAGGCTTTATAGACGGTACTTGCGAGGAACCTGATCCTACATCAGCTGAATATGAAGAATGGACTCATGTAGATTCTATGGTGATTTCATGGATATTGAACTCAATGTCAAAGGAGATGATAGAGGCATTTGTGTATACTCCTACTGCTAGGGCATTATGGTTAGAATTAGAAGAGAAATTTGGCCAAAGTAATGGACCGCAATTGTATCAACCCAGGAGACAAATAGCTTCAATAGAGCAAGGTAACAATATTGTTGTTGTGTATTCGAATAATTTAAAAAAACTATGGGATGAAATCAATTGTTTGGAACCAGTTCCGAAATGCAGTTGCAATTGTACATGTTCTACCTCAAAGAAAATGGAAGAAATCAACTACTCCAACAGAGTTATGCAATTCTTAATGGGATTAAATTATTCGTTTGACAATGTAAGGAATCAGATATTGGTAATGGATCCTCTACCGAGTATAAACAAGGTGTATGCTATGGTAATGAGAGTGGAAAAACAACGGCAAGTTCATATTAACTTTGGTGAGTCTGTTGATAGTAGTGCTTTATTAGCAAAATCTGTAGGACAATCTGCAAATACTTACAGCCAGGCAAGCAACCGAAGCAACTTCAAGAAGAAAGAAGGAAAGAACAATGGAGACAGATTTTGTACTTATTGTAACACTCCTGGTCATTTTGTGGAAACTTGTTTCAAGAAAAATGGTTATCCAGATTGGTTTAAAGATTTGAAGAAGCAGAAGCAACAAAAATCTGAGAAGACTTTTGCCAATATGGCTGATTCGCCACTTGAGGCAGGCAGAGACCAAATTAACTCGCTGAACATGGATACTCTGAGTTCATCTTTAGCAGAAATCATACAACAAGAGTTGAGGAAGCTTGTGAAGAATACACAGCAGGTGGAGGAGAACAGAGTTAATGCAGCACATTTTGGAGATTTCACTGAAGATTTTGCAGGTACAATTTATTCTTCTGGTTCTAGTAAGTCACATTATACAGTTCATGGTTCTTGGATAATCGATACAGGTGCTTCGAGTCATATGTGCACAGATTTAACTCTCTTAACTCATAGTCATACTCCTACTCATACCAGCATTGTTCACTTACCTGATGGGAATGTAAGGCAGGTCACACAAATTGGTGATGTTGTTTTACATCTCAACTTAATTCTGAGAAATGTCTATACATACCCGATTTCAAGTTCAATCTGTTATCTGTCCATACACTCTCTTCTTGCTTAAATATTAGTGTCTCATTCTACTTTACTCATTGTGTTCTACAAGACCAGCTGACTAATCAAGTTCTTACTGTTGGCAAAGTGATGAGGAATCTCTACATTATTGATCACACTTCTTTCTTGCCAACTACTATCTCTAAATTCGCTTCTTGTATCAGTTTTGTTCCTTCTGCTCATTGTAATGTTGTTGCTGCTGCTAATAATAAACAGTTGTTTGTTGATTACTTGGATTGGCACAAGAGACTTGGCCATCCTTCTGCAACTGTTATGAAACATCTTCCTTTTGTAATAAATTCTGCAGCTAATGAAATTTGTTTTGTATGTCCTTTGGCTAAGCAAACCAGAATTCCCTTTAATTTGTCCAGCATTCATACTTCTAGTCCTTTTGAATTAATACATGTGGATATATGGGGGCCTTATAAGACACCAACTATATCCGAAGCACATTATATGCTTACTATTGTAGATGATTTCACAAGAACTACTTAGACATATTTTATGCGTCATAAATCACAAACTATACAGCAGCTGCAATCATTTTTTAAGCTTGTTAAAACTCAGTTCTCAACTGTTATCAAATCTGTGAGGTCCGATAATGGTACTGAATTCTTAAGCCAAGAATGCCATTCTTTCTTCACTGATCTTGGTGTCCTACATCAGAAATCTTGTGTTTACACTCCACAACAGAATGGAGTTGTGGAGAGAAAACATCGTCATCTTTTACAATTAGCTCAAGTTCTTATTTTTCAAGTTGATCTTCGTATAAAGTTTTGGGGTGATGCTCTTTTAACAACAACACACCTAATAAACAAATTGCCTTCAGTTGTTCTATCTTGGAAAAGTCCTTATGAGCTATTGTTTAACAAGCCTCCGGATTACTCATATCTCAGAGTCTTTGGTTGCTTATCCTATGCCACTAATGTTCAGTCTCACAAATCTAAATTTTCTCCTAGAGCTCACAAATGCATCTTCATAGGTTATGCTCATGGTTATAAAGCATTTAAATTGTATGATTTGGATGAGCATCACACCATCATATATCAAGATGTTGTATTTCATGAAAGTGTCTTCCCTTATAAGGCCACCTCTTCTGTTTCCACATCCACTCCTGTTATTCCACATCCCATTTTTAGGATTTTGATTCACTTGATTCTTCTGTTTCTGCTGAGCATTCTTCCTCTACTGATTTTATTCCCTCTACACCTTTATCTTCCACCAATCAGCCTTTATTTGATTCTAATATTTTTGCTCCCATACTGCAGTCATCTCCTTCCACACAACCTCTTATCCACCACAGCTCTAGACCTAAGAAGCCACCTAACTGGCTGCAGGACTATGTTTCCAATTTAGTTCATTTGTCATCTCCACATATCCCACCAGCTTATCCTTTTGTTAAATTTGTGAATTTTTCTCCAACATATTTGACTTACTTAGCTAATGTCTCTATTGTTTGAGAGCCATGTTCTTATGATGAGGCTAAACTCAGTCCATAATGGGTTAAAGCAATGGATGTTGAGCTTGATGCCTTAGAAAGGAATGATACATGGCAGTTAACTGAGTTGCCTAATGGTAAAAAGGCCATCGGTTGCCGATGGGTGTACAAATTGAAACTTAAATTGGATGGCACAATTGATCGATATAAGGCTCGTTTAGTGGCGAAGGGGTATAATCAAGTAGTTGGAATTGATTATGTGGATAGTTTTTCTCCTGTTGCGAAACCTGTCACAATTCGAATTGTTTTGGCTTTGGCCACAGCTAATCAATGGCCTTTGCATCAATTGGATATCAACAATGCATTTTTACATGGTTATCTCAATGAAGATGTGTATGTCTTCCCCACCTGGATATCTTAAGGGTGCAGTAGGTCAAGTGTGCAAATTAAAACGATCTTTATATGGCTTGAAACAAGCCTCTCGATAGTGGAATTTTGAGCTGACATCTAAGCTTCTCCAGGTTGGTTTTCCGCAATCCGCACATGACCACTGCTTGTTTATTAAGAAGTTAGATTTTGAGTTCATTATTTTGTTAGTTTGCGTGGATGATATTCTTGTCACTAGCAGTTCCGAGAGCAGTATTATTTCTGTGAGATAGTTTCTGCAGAATGAATTTATGATTAAAGATATTGGTCCTGCGAAATATTTTTTGGGTCTTGAAATATGTCGATCACGATGAGGAACATATGTGAATCAACGCAAGTATACTCTTGACTTGCTTACTGATACAGGGATGATTGGTGCTAAACCCGCAAGTACTCCATTGCCGAAAACACAGAAGTTAACACAACAACAGGATACTCCATTTGCAGAACCTGATAAATTTCGCAGATTGATTGGGAGATTATTGTATTGGGGTTTCACACGACCGGATATCACTTATGCAATACAACAACTCAGTCAATTTGTACAGAACCCGTGTGATTCTCACTGGAAAGTTGCATTACATATACTCAAATATCCAAGGGTCTTTTTTTCCCGCTGGTAATACACTTAAGTTGGAAGGCTATTGTGATGCTGATTGGGCATCTTGTGCTGATACTCGTCGGTCCCTAACAGGATATTGTATCTTCTTAGGTCCTTCCTTGATATCTTGGAAGACTAAGAAGCAAGCCACGGTGTCTCGTTCCTCTGCCGAGGCTGAATATCGCAGCTTAGCATCTACCATTTGTGAACTTCAATGGATCCATTACATCCTCCGTTATCTTTGTACACCTGTTCAGTTGCCTATTAGATTGTGGTGTGACAATCAGGCTGCCTTGCATATTGTTGCGAACCCTATTTTCCATGAACGGACGAAGCATTTGGAGATTGATTGTATCTCATCCGTGAGCAGTATAAGGATGGTTTTGTGCTTCCTTCGTATATTCCATCCAAGTTGCAACTTGCTGACTTTTTTACAAAGTGTTTAGCAGCTCCACAGTTTGCTCTTTTACTGTCCAAGTTGGGGCTTTTTGATCCTCATCAGCCTCCAACTTGAGGGGGGGATGAAGAATATTATGTACAGTTGTAATAATCAGTTAGTTGTTGTTTCAGTTTGTGCAGTGCCAGTCAGATATTAGAGGTAGTTACGGTGGTTAGTCCTAGTCGGCACTTTCTTGTTAGTTAGTCGGTTATCCTGCATCTATTTATAGCTGCACTGTGGATCTAATTAATCAACACACACAGATGCAATTTCATTTCTTCTTTGGTGCTCCCTTGCATCTGTGTTTGCTTTGATCTTGTTCTTGAATATTTTCTTCTGTTTCTGATCACTTCAGCAGAAATAGAAACGAAGAGAGAAAGTTCTAAGAAGCTTGTACAGTTCACAACACTTTCATTTGAATTCACTCCAGTGCAATGAGAATAGATTTATATTGAAAAATCAGGTTAAGAGACCCCTAAATCCAAAATGCGAGCTCGAATGGCAGAGGATTTCGGCGACGACGGAGAAGTGTTTTTAGTTTGGGATAGGCCAGGTTTCCTGCAATGGCTTTGCTATGAGACAGGGTGCACTAAGATTTAGCCGTTAACGTATCGTTATCTGTTTTTTTTTAATAAGATAAAAATAAAATAAAGATTTAGCCGCTCAATACGATTATACGAGAGAGTGGAGAAATAGAATAGGGAAAACCATCCTAAGCCTTTCGGCTGAAATCATTATATAACTAAAAAGGTTTAATTACTTATATATCCCCTATATTTCGGGCTCTCAAGGTTGATGAAAATAAAAACATTCAAAATTTTAATGGATAAAATGTAAATGACAAAAATCTTCTTAAATATTTATTATTTTTTTAAAATATATCATTTTCTTTTCTTTCGATTAAAAGTAGGGGTGTTCATAGGATGGTTCAGTTTGGCTATAGGGTGTTTGGCCAACCAAACCAACCCGGTTGGGTTGAGGAGTTGGTCACCTGAAACCGACTGACTATTAGTGAAAATTGGCCAACTTCGGTTGTATCAATTGTCAATTTGATCAACCGGTTCAAAAGATTCAAATTTAAAAATTTAATTTAATTTTTAAAAATTATAGAAATATTATTAAAAATAAATTAAAATTTTTTATGTTTACAATATAAAATATTCTAAACTAGGAAATATGGGAATTTTTTCACTCTTTTGTATTAAAAATGTATATTTAAAATATAAAATACTAATATATATCTATGATCAGGTCATTTTGGTTTTGATTAGTTTACAAATGACTAAACCAAAATCAACCCAACCTAGTTAGGTTGAAAATTTAATGAACCAAAGCCGATCAAAAATATTAAAAAATCAAACAACTCAAGGTCAAGCTAGGTCAGGATTGGTCGGTTTCATTGATTTGATGAGCAACCTTTGAAAGTTGAGAAGGAGAAATGCAATAACTTTGGAAGTCCACATGTCCAATGTCTAGTCTAAAATCTATTTTTATCATTTTCTTGTTGTGCTTCTTATTTTATGGTTTTTTTGGGGGGCGGGGGGAATTCCTTATCAGTACCCTAAACTTTAGAGGTTGTGTCAAGTTAGTCCCTAAACTTCAAAACTTGTATATGCATACCCCGAACATTCAGAATGTGTCTAATATGTCATTGCCGTTAAAAATCCATATCCATCAGTTCTCATCTATTTTTTTTTATCTGCCACTTCCACATAAACTAATTTAAACAAAACTCCTTATGTTTAACACTTTAAATCTTAATTCCAGTAAACTTTGTTATCGACTTGTCACTTCACCTTTATTCCAAGTAATCTTATTTTCCGGCTTGTGGAATGACAAATTCACTACAACAAAATGTACATATACCAACGGATATTTGTACTGACGACCTCAATCTGTTGGTATAAATGTTTTTTACTGACGGATATGTGCATTTGTCACTATATATCTTATCCTATACCAATGGACCGATTAATTTGTCATTGAAATCCAATGTATACCAACGACATCCTCTACTGATAGTCAAAATTCATTGGTATACATACTTTTTTACTTACGGATATTTGTATCTGTCATTAATGTAATGTACATAATTGAATCCGTTGCTAGATTTCCTATAGTCTACCAATGGATATTAATCTGTGGCTATAGGTTCCCACTCTACCAACAAAATATGTCATTCGCCGCTATAATTTATATAATATATCGACGGTGAATTAGTCCGTCGCTAAACCTAATGTTTGCCATCATTACAACCTATCGTATGGGTTGTGTTAGGCATGGGATTTCAGGTCCATGGGTCGGCACGACCCAACACGACCCATATTAATATATATATATATAATATGTATATATTATATTATTTATATTAATATATCATTTTATTTTCAATATTATTATATTATTTCATTTTATTATTGCATATATAAACAATTATATACATCAAAATTCATATAAAATAAAATTTTAAGATCTTTTTCAGTTTATTGTATATATATTTTAATTTATGTTAAAATTTTTATTATTTTAAAAAAATTAAAAACATGGCTTAACCCAGTCTGCAACTGGGCCTGGCCCAAGGCTTAGCCTGCTGCACGGGCTGTGCCGTGCCGATCCCCAAAAAATATCCCAAGGTAGAGAAGCATCGCCTGATTCGGCCCACATGTAGGTCATGCCATGTAGGCCCAACACGACCTAATTTACACCTCTAAATTGCCCCACATGCACACCTCAATGTGCATTGGGAACATCTCCCGAAGTTGTGAGTGGGAGATGTTCCCAATACATGGTTGGGATATGATGTGGGGCATTTGCGGGGCACCCTCCGTGGATCTCTGATGTAAACGGACAAAAAGTCATGGTTTTCGAACCGTCATTGACTCATATGGTTGGACCGTTCGGCCCGGGAACCATCCAGGCAACTGGTTCTATTTTACCCCAACCCGGTCATTGGCCAAAAGCTGTTGAATTGGTCAACAACCTGTTGACCTGGGCTATCGAACCATCAACCCGTTCAACGGTTTTTGGTCATTTTTTTATTTTTATTTATTTATTTTTTTAATTTTTGTTGTCAGAACGAACCATCCATTTGAATTAGACGATTGAACCGTTGACCCAAAAACCAGTGGCAGAACGGTTCCATTTTCGACTCGATCGGTTTTAAAAAAGTGATCCAAAAACGGAACCGTTCTGGCCACCAGTTTCTGGGTCGATGGTTCGATCGTTTGGTTTGAATGGATGGCCCATTCCGACAAAAAAAATAAAAATATAAAACGGCCAAATTTTTTTATTGAAACTTTTCTAATTTTTAATATTTTCCGTTACATGCGTATCTTGGTAATTTTACTGAATATCAATGTGTCGTGCCCAGCACGACACTATCGTATGGGCTGTGCTAGGCCTGGGATTTTAGGTCCATGGGCCGACACGACACAACACGACCGAGTGGGCCATGCCTCCCACGACTCGTGTGCCGGCACAACCCATATTAATATATATATATATAATATAATATGTATATATTATATTATTTATATTAATATATCATTTTATTTTCAATTTTATTATATTATTGCATATATAAACAATTATATACATCAAAATTCATATAAAATAAAATTTTAAGATCCTTTTCGGTTTTTTGTATATATATTTTAATTTATGTTAAAATTTTTATTATTTTAAAAAAATTAAAAACATGGCTTAACCCAATTTGCAACTTGGCCTGGCCCAAGGCTTAGCCCGCTGCATGGGCTGTGCCATACCGATCCCCGAAAATATCCCAAGGGAGAGAAGCACCGCCTGACTCGGCCCACATGTAGGTCATGCCATGTAGGCCCAACACAACCTAATTTACACCTCTAAATTGCCCCACATGCACACCTCAGTGTGCATTGGGAACATCTCCCGAAATTGTGAGTGGGAGATGTTCCCAATACACGGTTGGGATATGATGTGGGGCATTGGGGGGCACCCTCCGTGGATCTCTGATGTAAACACACAAAAAGTCATGGTTTTCGAACCGTCGTTGACTCAGATGGTTGGACCGTTCGGCTCGGGAACCATCTAGGCAACTGGTTCTGTTTTACCCCAAACCCGGTCATTGGCCAAAATCTGTTGAATTGGTCAACAACCCATTGACCTGGGCTATCGAACCATCAACCCGTTCAACTGGTTTTGTTATTTGTTTCTTATTTTAGTTGTGTTTAAATTTCCATGGTTATGTGATAAGTAGATTAAACATTGTGATGTTTTCTTTGGATAAACTTTCTATGGAAATTCTTTAATTTGGGTGAATAGTAATTGGAGTGTTGTTGCTTATGTGTATATATGTTTTGTAAGCCATGTTTCTAAAAGATAATGAATTGAAAGTGTCTTCTTGCAATATAATGGTGCAACCTGCATTATCTCTGAGTTCGAATCAGATTGGGAGTTGGGTGAGTCAAATGGGTGGGGTCAAGATTGCCAACCCTAGTGTTGGGGAAACCTAAAACTTTGGTGACTAGGAATGAAGCAGAGATGGTATTTGTATGTCCACCTTGCCCCGACCTTGGGCCTGTATCCATCCCAACTAAAAATGTCTATATTATACTTTATTATATTATAGAGTTCTAAACAGGTTTCAAAAAAATAAAATAAAATAAAATTCAATTCACAAATAGAACAAAGGTGGGGTGAGGCAAATTCAGGATCCCCACTCCTCATAGGGACAGGAATGGGATTAGGATTTCTAACACTGTTAATGTACGAGGCAGGGACTGGGCGGGTTTTCTCAGTTTTATGTCGAAATGGGACATGCAAAACCCAACCTTGTCCCGCCCCATTGCCTTCCCTAATTAATGAAGGCAGAGGAATAGTCCTTGAGAGAAGAGGTCATGGTGATCATGGACCACAATCCCATCTCCTACTGCACGAGAACTGACCACTCCATCAACATTTATTTCACCATATTATGCTACAGTTTTGACCAGTGGGTAGGGGTATAGTTCACCTGCTGCAGCTTCCTGTTGGCAACACTATTTTGTTCCTCTTGATGGACCACGGAATCAGCAAACACCATGGCCCTCATAGAAACAGAAATTGGGTTGAAATCCTACTGTTTAGAAATTTGCTTATTGCGAATCCACCAGATAAATCATAGAATCGTTGCTTCATGCAACATGACATTATCCTAAGAAGTTATAAAACGATAATCTACATACATTTATGATAACATCCTGTGAGATTATTTGTGGATACAGTGATGGGTTTCCTTCCCTTTCCCTTCCTTTCCTTCAAACCAAACATAGCCTGAAGGTCCAAAGTACAAGAAAACCCATTTTCCTTTGTCATTTCTTATTACCCCTCCCATTCCAGCAGAACCTGGGTTGCCAAGACAACTACCCATCAAAATTTAGCTTGAAGAAATCATTCCCTAGGGGCTCCCACTTTCTCACTTATTTCTTCTTTGCTAAAGAAGAAGCTGTGATAACTCCCCAATTTCTTGTAATGTCATCAACAGTAAAGTCACAAAACAACTTTGTAGTCTTCACCCAATGTGTCACCTTTATAAATATGCTTTCAAATAAGTACTCTTTCAAGCAGCTAATTGAACCATCAATAGTGATTACTAGGTTTTGTCACCAAGTAACAATAAAATTTGATATAAGATAATCTATGGATGTGTTATGAGATAACCTGAAAGGATAATACAAAGAAACACAAACAGGGAACCAAATTAAAAACTTAGAAATTGTGTGTGTGACAAAGCTGCTATGTCATACATTTTTTAAATTCTGCATGCTTTCTTTTTTATTAAATATAGTACCTAGTTTGCTTAGTAGTGGTGTGATTCGAGTAGATAAAGATTAATGACGTGACATTATTAATCATTGGTGCTCTAAGAAAGGAAAGGTATGATTAGAGGTTGATAACAGTGATTAATTATTATAATTTATATTATTACATTCTAATTTTTATCTTCTTTTTGTTATAGAGAATCGGTTTAATAAACAAAGAAAATCGTGTGAAATTGGAAGAGCCTCATTGTACGGGAACAAAATCTTTTTCTAGATTAATTCATGAAAAGGTGATTTTTATATTATCTCTAGAAGTAATGTCTTGCTTAATAAGTTTTAAAGGTATTTTGGTGTTATTAGTTAAATGTAATATGTATGATTGTAGACTGAGGCGGCCAACGGAGTGCGACCTTCACGTGCACAAATATACAGACACTCGTACACGGAAAGATGGAAGCATTGTGAACGAGAAGGCAGCTGAAATGGTGGTACGTATTTCAATTCAATAGCTACAATGATGAGAAATTTGACCAGCCTTTTCCCCTTGTTTTTCTACTTTACACCAAAACCAAACTAAGATACTAACTAGGAATAAAGCAAATCCTAGTTGACTTGGAACTAAGACTCTTGTTTTTTAGATTAGTTCAATCCTCTTTTCCAGTTACATGTCCAAAAAAGGAATGTCCAGGAAGAAAAGAGTAGAAGGGAAGCTTGATTGATTACTCCCCCTGCTCTGACACCATGGAAAACATGGTTTCAGACTTGCAAACCAGAAAACAAAATCATAAAAAGAACAAACTAGAACCCTACAATCCCAATCCTCACAATACTATTTTCCAATAGTATTCCTATAAAAAACTATTAGTCAATGCATTCTTTGAAAATATTGTGGGCCTTATGGCAAAAAAACTCAAGATTGATGGTCAACACCGTAGAAAGTGTTTTTCCCTAGAAAATCTCCTACTCGATATCCCATATTAATCACCTTTATGGTCTCACCTATTTTATTTTGTGTTATCTCAGTATAGAAATGGGGAGAGAAAGTGCAACTTGGCCAATTAGACTCAAAATGAGCAACATCCACACCCAAATCAATAGGACCCACCTTTTTAGCATAAGCAAAGGATCAACTATCAGCTTCATTTTTCCATCAATCCAGATACTGTATTGTGCTTGAGGGAACAGCCGATGGGTTAGTATCTTAGGAACTTTCCCATTTCTTCGGGGCTCATCATAGGGTGGATGGTGTAGCGGAACAAGGCATCAAATACCAACCCACTTCCCCCTTGATGATCATCTCTAATTGTGACATTTTTCTTAATGAAGTTGAAAGACTTCTCATCAACAACCAAAAGAAAGTAGAAGAGGTTTTGGGATCGATGGCTTATATTTGAAGGCTGGTGGGGCGCGTCATATCCATCAAAAATGCTTGATGCAACAACAAAACCTACATTTCTTGACATACTCAACGTCTACAGGATCCATCTCTGCACCTCCATTGTGCATAAAACCACAGTGCACCTGAAGGCCACAACACAAGATCAACAAGCAGAACCAATCCAGGTTAATGCAAAAATCATGATCAGATAAAAATGATGACTTAAAAATAATGAATAGAAATATTAGACCACTCATTCAATGTGCCACCCTTAGATGGAACTACTAGTTGGTTGAAAAGTGCTCATGTCTTTATGATCCAATTTTGCCCTAACTTTTTAACAAACACCATAACCTAGAAGACCAATGAAGTGTCAATAAAGAAGATGTTTGTTAGTTGTTTCATCCATTCTCTAGTTATTCTGCTAATCTGGAACTTTCTTTGCTACTAGTAACTGAGTTGTTCTAAAATGGATGGTAGCTTCATCCACTTGTTCCAGAAAGAATCAAATCAAACTTTAGAACTGCGTTCTATCTACAAATCCTTTCAAAGGGATTGGACACCAAAACTTTTAGTGATGTTGCACTGTAGCTTTTCATAGTGTTGATAACTTTTCTAGTCAGTAAATATGTTGAGAAATAGTGGGTAAGATGTTTATGATTGCTTTCCAAGGACTCCTAAAGGTGAGATTCCTAGAAGTTTTAGAATCCCACCCATTCGAGTACAAGCCATGCATGCTTTTTAATTACCAAATACTACAAAAAAAATGTTCTCAATGGGAAACCTCCATAACCACTTCCCTAATAAAGTAGTAATTCTATCCCTCAGCTGTCCAATCCCTAAACCCCCCTTTTCCTTACTATTTGTTACTTTCATTCAATTCAATATGTCTGCCTTCTTGCCATTCCCCAGGTTGCCAGGTCCCAAAGGAAGTCCCTAATGATTTTTTCAAATTTCTTTGCAACTTTGGTTGGGGCTATAAACGGTAAAAAGTACACTGGAAGATTAGAGAAAGTAGATTTGATGAGGGTCAACCTACCTCCAATGGAGATGTCTTCCAACTCACCAGTTTTTTTATTTATTTTTTATTTTTTTGTGAACCTTTCAATGATCTCTTCCCAAGAGATCAACTCTTGAGAAGAGCCTCTTAGGGGTAATCCTAAATATTTAATAGGCCAATTCTTAATGTTACACTATAGTAAAGTGGCGTACTCTTCCAACTCTACCTGACATTAAATCACATTAAGAGCAATTAATCCTTAGCCTTAACTCTCTCTCTCTCTCTCAACAATATCTTGGATTTCCTTCACAACTGTGAAATCCTGAGAGCCTCTAAACTCTCCCATAATGATGGTGTCATATGCAGATTGCAAATGAGAGACCACCTTCCCTTCTCTACCCACTCTCAGCCCCCTATCAATAAGCATTCTTACTAATTTAGTAGTAAATCATGTGAATAACAAGCACAAGAAGAAAATTTATAAGCAAACAAAGCATAGTTTGTGCATTAAGAGTTTAGCTTACCTTCATGGTCGAATTCAGCTTATAACTTTGTTCTCTTTGCGACCAGCTTTGATGCCCTCCAAATAGTGGGAGTGACTGAGAATCATTATTTACAGACATTCTTCTCTTTGGGATAACTATTGCATCAGGATCATCTTGAAGGGGAATTGGACATCCTGAAATTAACACAAAGAACATTAGATTATTATAATTTTATAGATAATAACTTCAAGACAAGAGAAAAGAAATGCATATAATCTTAGGGTGTTGTGGTTTTGGTAGAAGCCCCATAGTGTCCAACATCATAAATACCTTTCTTTGCTAAAAATAGCTACATATTAAAAAAAAGTAGGCCCATGCCAAGCTACTGAATCCGGGAAAACAACATTCAGATAAATCAGTCACTAATATCATTTAGTGAAATCAGGTATAAGTGACCAAGTAAATCCGTTGACCAGGCCTAACTGATTGCAATACTTGATTGTATGCCAACCTATACAGCCTGTGGTAATTTTTGTGTAGGGATGTAATCCATATCTTATAGATGACAAATTACAAATAAACATAGCTACAAAAATGGCCTTTCATTTGGTTTTACAAGCCTAGTGCTTGCCACAATTCCAACCTCCCCTACCAAAGAATCAGCTAATCACCAAATCATTAGAGTGAAGAATAAATAACATTTATATGACACTTGGATATGAAAACTCTGCTCCATATTTGCAAGAGGCTGCATTCATAAAAAATTTATGAAATGTAGAGCTTTGACTACATCTAATAAGAGGAGGAAGTGAAGGGATATAACTCTGCTTTGATCCTAATAATTAACCAGCAACAACAAACAAACAAAACCATTAATACTAGATATTTCAGAATGCAGATTAATGTATAGCTAGGGAACATGGAAGAGAAGCTCTACAACACTTGCCACATTTTGCAACAAATGTAATGCAGTCTTGGAAGAGAAGCTTTAGGCCATTAGAGAGATATTCCAACCGGGAGTTTTTCTTTTTTTTTTTTTCTCAACATCAACAAGTATATATGTTAATGGTGTTGTTAGATAGCAAGCTATTACCCCAGTTTCTTTGGCTCTTTCAAGAAGCTCCCTCCCACTTATGGAACTGCTTGGAAGCTTGTAAATAATTCATTATTTTTTACAATCAATAAAGTTACTAGTTAATTATTAAAAAATAAAAAAATTAAAGCTCTTTTAGGAACAATTCATCCAGTTAGGTCATATAGGAAACCCTTGACTTGCTTAGGATATGACATGACTGCCCCTTTAGAGCTATGGGAAATATTATGCCACACTATTAGAAAAATTACCTACAGAGGTAACAAAAAATGCCTCTAAAGACCGATAAATTGCCTCTAAAAAGAATTAGAGGCACTCAGGTGATTGCCTCTAAATGTCTAGCCTCTAAATGTTATAGAGGCACTTGACTTACAATTAGAGGCACATCTGATAAGTGCCTCCAAAAATGAGATATTGAGGTACATAATCTTGCCTCTAAAACACTGACGTTAATAGCATTTTACAAAGGCATGTATAAATGCCACCAAATATACATTTTTAGGGGCATTTTAATTAAATTTGAGGCAAATTTATTTGCCTCTAAAAGTAATTTTAAGAACCCTATTTAAGCTTTATAGCAACACTTCAAAACTGCTTCTAAAGTATTATTTGGCCTTATTTAGAGGCACTTGTGACTATCTCTAAAGATCATTTATTTGTGTTTTGAAAAGTTGTCTTATCATATGCAAATCTTATGTAAACCTATATACAAACACTTAATTTGATATCTAAAACAATTCATTCACATATCTATTAAAAGATAACCATTGTTTCTGAATATTATTACATATTAATTGATAGAAATTCAAAGAAAAAAGAACAATCCATCTACAAAAAATATGGCATAAAAAATACAAAAAGGAACAATCTGAATGTCAGTGGCTTGGTCTATGGTGTAGCTCCTTCTTATGTCGAGATTGATCCAGATTAAAACCCTTTCCTCTACACCATAAAGGGCCTAGGATGGTGTTTCCGCAAAATAGTCCTTGTTTCTAAATGGCCTTTCCATATGTGAATTACTACCTACATTTCCAAAGTTAATAAAATTCATCAACTCAATTGTCTAGAGAACAAACCCAAGAATTGAGAAATGTGAATTACTACTCACTAAATCATGGAGCTTCTCATAATCTATCCATGTGAACCATTGGCCATTGATCTTAAACTTTTCAACCTTTGCCAAAAGAACATAACAGGAGTTGACATGTTCACAGATGACTTCATACTCCCCATTACTCTTTTAAGCTAAGGCCTCTAAGAAGCCTTTTACATCAGTATGCCAAGGAACATTGTCCATTGCTAACTTTGATGTGGTAGACCTGTCAAATAGTTTCTAGTGTTGAAAGTAATCAAATAATTCTCTATTCTTTCTCTTGGAGAGCTTTCAGTGAAACCTAAAAACATTTTTATATAACCACAAATGAGTCAAGCTATCATTGAACTCAAACACCTGGTTGGTAGTTTAGTTTTAAGAAGTTTAAAGGAGACACTAGAAGGAGGAAATCAAATGTATCCTAGTGGATGTCATAAATGTAGATAGTAAGATCACAGAGAAAAGGTTAAAACGATTCTTCTACCAAGTATTATTGTATTAATTCTGTAAGCACTTACAGTGAAATGCTCCCAGAAGTCCCCAAAGAGTGGCCTATCAATTGCCTTCATAATGTCCTTTGTGGCAACATCTGCACTTACATATAGCTACAATTATGTCAAAGAAAGTCGTGATTTACAATTTTCAGATAAGATCACTTAATCTAACTACACTAAAGAATGAAAACTAATTTGTAAACCTGGGTGACAGGCTTCAACATCCTAATCCTCTCAAGAAACTGAGCATTTGTTACAAGGTAGAAATCCATCTCCTGTGAAGTTCATCTCCAAGAATGTTTATCTCTGGGTAGATGATTGGTTCACCAACAAGTGACAAGGCACAATGCTTAGGCAAGAGACCTTCTGATAGACATTCACTGTTACTCCTGCATAAAATAGATATTTGTAGAAAAACTTATTTGCTTTTATCCCACCAAAGGGAAATGCATATGAAATCATCATAATCTAAAGGTAGAAAAACTTAGCCTAACTCAACCAAATCCTAATTAAGTATGAAAATTAGACATGGGGCTTATTTAAGTTAGTTGACCAATTTTGTAGTTCTGCTTTGGTTGACACCGAGTTTGGATCAGGTTCCAAGACAGAGTCCCAATAGCCTTTGCAATCGTGCAGTAGGAACAAGACAACGGTATTGGATCAAGTCCCAATACAGAGACCAAATATGCATCAAAAAATGAATAGTAATAAGAGAATATTCATCACAGTATATAAGATCTTCGAGTGCAACAATATTGACTTAGAGCAAATAGCAATAAGAGAATATTCATCACAGTTCAGGGGTGTTATGTGAAACAAGAAAACCTGCTATAGACTATTATGTTTTCTTTCTGAAATTTTGATGCTAAAATAGTTTAATTTTGACATCATCTAGTCCAAACCCCCACCAACATACTCTATTTTATTATTTTACATGTTGATTAATATTTTACCAAAATGCATTTGCATCTCTTCTCTACAAATTCTACATATCCATGGGATGTTTCTGCATATTGACCTCTGTCTCATAAAAAATGTATTCTGTCCTTGACTGAGTTCTTCCTAAACTCTACTTATCTACAACCTTTTTGGTTACCCTATTACTTCTTATGCCCACTTTGATGCAACTAGTACTTCATGAAATGTGGGTTCTAGTAGAGGCTTGAGACACTATTAGAATAATGATGCCCTCAAACTATTTAGGGAATAGGGATGTCAACATTTGGCTTGTTTGTCTGGATATCCAATATCAAGAGGAAGATCAAATGGAGATGCCTTATACTTGTAATCTTCTAGGCTGTGTGGAAGGACTGAAATTTGTAGTATTTCATATTCAAGCCCCCTCATATGAGTTTGATGCATGTAAATTAAGGGTCATCTATTGGATTTAAGAATTTGACATTTTTAGTGACATCTTAGTTGAGTTGCTGTTGAGAGTAATTTTATTGAAGCAAGATTTCCTACTTGGATTAACATTGACATGGGGCAGGTGGATCCTTCCTCATTAGCATGTTATTAGGCTTAATTTTGATGGAATTCTCTTTGGGAAGAGGAAGCCCTGGTGCACGTAATCTTCTAGGCTGTATGAGATGTGTGAAATTTTAGAGCATTTCATACTCAATCCCCACTTATGAGTTGATGCATGTAAACAACTATTTATTGAATTTAAGAATGACATGTTTAGAGACGTCTTAGTTGACTTGCTATTGAGAGTGGTATTTTTGAAGCATGATTTCCTTGGATTAACATTGACATAGGGTGGGTGGCTCTTTCCTCATCAGTTTGTTAGTATGCTTAATTTTGATGGAATGCTTTTTGGGAAGAGGAAGCCTTTGTGCTTTTAGGAGGTGGATTTTTTTGGGAAGTGTATTTGTGGTTTTTTTAGGGACAGCATGGGTGTAATTATTCTATATTTTGGTGCCAAGGGCTAACCTCCACCAAGAAATCCAATCAATCACTACAATGCAGTCACCTTCAGCCCCTGCAATGGAAGTCTTCTCGATATTTCCCTTGAAAGCTCTTGTTTTTTTCACTTTAATGCATAAATTTTCACTGGGGGAAACTATAGATGGCTTTGACCTGGTTTTTGAGGAGTGAGGACAGGATGCCTAGAATCATGGAGAGTAGAGAGCAATAAGGCCTAAAATTGTGCATTTTAGCATTTGGTGTCTCTTATTTAATTTTAGCTGATGTGCTTAAGCATGGAAGAATTGGTGCTTCTCTCCTATATTGTAGCCCATGTTGCAAAATATACCATATAGTTTTATGACAATTTAATTCTTAGAAAATATCTGCAAGTTCATGCTTCTCAATGAAGCTAGCATATAATGGGAGATTTGCAAGTATGGTTATGATGAATGGACAAATCAGTAGCCTTGCCTTCACTAAGGATGTGCTGAAATAAGCTTCTATTTTGAGGCCCAAGGGGTTGTGTGGATGCACTTTGCTCAAAATTTTCTCTGTGGTTAATGGAAATTTGAAGTTTTTATTTCTAATTTGGTTTTTCTTCTATAATTGCTAATTATTATCTTTGAAATAACATGCTGCAGTTTCCTTGGTTATTATTATTATTTGTCTCTTGTCAGGTACGGGATGAACTTTGGAAGGAAACTCTGCAGCTTGCAAGCAAGTTTTTGCAGATTTGCATGTACTAATTTTCTAGGTAGTCGGATCATATATAGATGGGAATACTAATACATATTTTAAAATAGGAGAGAACTTGGAGAAAGAACCACACATCTTGGAGCTTAGAAACCAGGTGAGCATTTGAAAACTCAATTCTTTTTTTCATAGCTTGTGAGCTGGTTTTGAATTTTGTTTCTTGTGTATGGAATAACAGTGCAGAATCATCCAAACAAGAGAGTTGGATGTTGCCTAGGAGAAACTAAATGATCTTGAGAGATAGAAGGAAGACACAGTAGTTCTTTTATGCTTCTAGCTTGCTCTAGAAGCTTCAAGGTAAACAAAAATAGGTTTTGGTTAATTATCTATAATTAATAACCCAGTGAGAGATACCTTCATTATGACTGGTAGAAAAGTTGTTTTGAGATGATAAATCTGGTTTGATTTGTGTAGAGGCAATGAACAAGGCAGAAGAAGAATTTAAAATTCTTTACAGGCAACTGCTAGATAGGGAGATTGACCTGCCAACTTTCATACAAAAATACAAGAAGCTCCGGATGACTTACCACAAACGGGCACTCACCCATCATGCAGCCAGGACATCCTGTTTATGACTCAAAAAATGTGCAGAAACATTATTTTTGTAGTGTCCAAATATCTGTAGAAACATGAAGGAAGGGATGCTTGCTTTTTATAGTGTCTCAGATGGTACAATTGCTTGTGATCAGATTGGAACAAAATGTATCTTATTTCTGCTTCTATGTCTTCTCATTTTGTGCGTCTTCATCCTTCTTTCTTTCTCTAACATGAGCAGCCTTTGAGGTTTTGGTTTCATTTGAATAATAGTTATTGGATGGTTGGAAGTTGAGAAAGATTCTAAAATCGCTTAGGAATTTTCCAAGGAAGACGCAATTCACAATTCACAAGCAATTTGAATTTTCGAAGGAAGACACAATATTTGTGTCCAAATATTTAATTTTGCTTTCTTCCCCCCAAAATAGCAGCAGCCAGCAGGGAAGTACCACAATTCACAAGCAATTTGAAAATTTTATTACACATAATGCATACAAGAAGTCAAGGACACATATCTACACTAGCAGAGAGGCTTAGGCCTCATTTGATCCTTGTGTTGTATGCTGTGTAATATTATACTAAATAGACCTGGGCTAGGTTTAGACACAAAACTTATACCCAAGCCTGGAATTTTGTAAACCTGTTTGGACTGAGCTAGTGAGGGTCGTGGTGCAAATTAGGTTGCCCCAAGTTGAAGAAATGATCACTTCTTGATGAATAAAATCATACGAAAAAACTTTTGCTCCTATTATAAAAGAGAGGAACAGTCCGAGTCATGGTGGAGGATAAGGCCTTACCTCTTTGTTTCTAAAATTTTGCATGTTGGATGATATGGACATCATCCATGAAAAAACATGGCATACCTATGACCATGGTAGGAGAAAATTAAAGCTGTGAATGTACAAACCAGTAAGGTTCAATAGGAACAAAACTGCGATCAACTTCATTTCAAGTGTGCATGCTGTAACTATTGTTGTTTATGGGGTTTAAAGTTTGACAGTCAAAAGCTTTATAAGGATCATTTTTGCATAATGATGATATTTTTTTTTTATAATCTGGTCACTAATTGTTCTTTTTTTAGTGCTTTTCCTGTTTTTCTTTTTTGGGTTTTCTATGTAGGCAAAGTTTTTCTGGAAAATGTGCCAATAACATCTTGCATTATGGGTTGGCTGAGAAAAAGTTTCAAAGGCAAAATTTGCAGTCGGAATTGGAATCCTAATGGTCTGTTTCCATAGTGTATTTGGTTCAGATGGGATTGGAATAAATTGGAACAGGATCTCATTCCTAAGGGAGAGGAACAGAATGTTGATTCTATCAAATGGGGGAATGCTATTCCACCAGGAACAGAAATATGGTTCCGATTCTGCCCAACCAAATGGATGGAATCGGAATGATCAATTCCGATTTGGTGCTTTAATGGCATCATGAGTAGGAACATGGAACTTTAAATCAAAGCAAGGCAAATTAAAACATGGGATTTGGTGCAAAAAGGCAAGAGTACAGGTGTAGCTCTGGCTCAATTTTCTGTCTTGTGATTTAAGAGCTTCACTATGAACTCAGCTTGCCATGTGCCTAAGTATTATTTGTGATTAACATATGTGTGGAACAGCTACAAATGTAGCTGGAGAAGTGGTAAATGTTGGATCTAGAGTCAAGGATCTCAAAACTGGTGACAAAGTTGTAGCCATGCTTGGCTTTTCGGTGAGTTCTCAACACTTCTTTTCTCTGTGTATCAGTAACTCTGTTTGTGTGTGTGTGGGGGGGGGGGGATTAGGGATGGGCATGATTTGGGTAGGTCAGGAGCCACTTTGATACTATCTTAATTTTCTTTATTTTTATATTCTCTATCTTGATCTGTAAGAACAAATTATACATTCCAAATAGATTTTAATTTTAAAAGCACTAGCCTATTTTTTTTGAAAAAGAAAAACCCAAAGGACATGCAGGAATAGAACTTCAAGCAAACCCAGTATCCTCCCACCCTCCTAGGCCCCAAGGCCAGGGCAACCAGGATGGACTTCACTTGTGATTGTCATGAGAGAACCCCTCCACTCCCTAGATACACTTCCGAAATATTCCTCGTCAACTTTTATCAATAGGTATAAAGCTACAGAGAGGGTATTGACTAGAACTCTAGAAATCAAAGCAAAGCATTACACTTTATGAATTACCATCTCATCATGCTAGGTTGCTCCTCCTCTAAATCCTACCTGGGACTTCTACATTTGTCCTTAACCTAGCCTTTGAACAACTACTTTATTCCATGGGGATAATGAAATTATTGTACTTCTAGGGGGAGTTTCCTAAATTTTAGCTTCTTGGGTGAAGATGTAATGGATATAATAGATTGGGGACGTCACAACTATAGGTACCCTTTGCATGTTTGCCACTAGCAAGATGGATGTTAGCTCACTAATGTGGTGTTCCTCTTTTCTATTTCCCGCATTTGATTTGTGTTGTTGATGAGGATCTGCACTAGTACATTGAAGTCTGCCCCATATCTAGCTATCATGTACCCATGGTTACATGATTTTGGGTTGTTTTGATTGGATGGCTAGAGATGTAGTCTGTCTGTTGGGATGTAAAATCCTGGTACTTATTTTGGGTTATGTTCCTTAAAAATGTTACTTTTCTATGCTATTTTGATTTATGTTCTTTTATCCAACAGTTGTATATTTTTTGTAGCTTGCTAAGACATCCATATGTTAGAACAAGTCATCACTATTATTAGGAACCATACCCATCTTTCTTATTTTACTACCAGCACTAGTATTTGGCAAGATTATTCTGAGCACCGTGTATGCTTTATTCAACATTTTTCTCTTCTTACTTCACTATTTTGATATGTACAATTTAAAAACAATAGCCCTGAATTATCTGTTTAGATTTTTCCTAGCCTCTTATCTCTCATAGACACCCATCCATGGCTTCTTTTCATTTTAGTTGCTTACATTGTGTTTTGTCTGTCATGTGCTGTATCATTTCATTCAACATTCTCTTGAAGAAGAATATTCATTACTTAATATTACTTAATTAGAAATTTTTTCCTTGTGTTTTCTATTCATCTATTGGTATGTATCATTCCTTCTTTTTATTGGGGAGGGTATAGGTTTCTTCAAACTCTAGCCACCATATTATTATTACCAGGGTGAGGCTTATGGCATCTTCTAGGATAAACAGTAAACTAACTAGGTTCTTAAACTAACCCTCAAATTCATTGCATAAATCACAATCAATTCAACTCATGCTTAAAAGGGCATAGATATGTGTTGATCCAGTTAGTGACAAATGTTTCTCCTCTCTCCCTTTAATCACAATCCTTAACATTAGCATTTTATCTGCTTTTAATACTACCTAGAGGATTGGCTTTTGTGACCTAAGCAATTTTTATTTTCTAGAATAATTTAAGTATTTTTTCTTTTATGCTAACATTCCCTTTCTCATTCATACTTGTAGTGTTTTTGTTATAGCTTATAAAGTTGCCTTCATCTAGCATGTGACTTGTAGAACGAAATTTTTACTCTAGGCACTAATTTCACTTATAATCTCTCAGAACTTGGTTTGCTATAATGAGGTTTCTATTTGTGCTATATTTTCCCTCTTACTAATATAATTATATTTATTAAAAAGAAAAAAAGAAAAGTAAGTCTTTTAGTTAACATTGCATATTTCAACACCTATAACCGTTAGTTTTTTTCTTCACCCCTTTTATGTAATTTTTTGTTCTGAAGGTCTATTGACATATTTCTCTTTTGAAACTCTTTGTGCAATTCTACACCTATAGTGTATTAACAACCTTGCACCAATTGAACCTCCTATAAACCTCACAATAAACAATGGGATAACTTTCCTCATAGTAGACATCATGATTGCTTTACGTGAATTTAAAAACAAAACCTTGAAAAGACAATCATTTGACACTTCTAAAAATAATGGAGAGTAGTGAAATCCATAAACCAAAGAAACATCGTAGAGCTGAAAATCCTCATATAACTATAAATTCTACGCCAACAACTAATCCACAAAAGAAACATTATAGAGTTGAAAAGACAATAGAAATTAAACAAGAAAAGGGAAAACGAACAAATGCAGATCCAATGCAACTTACAGAACAATGCATAAGTAAACAAAAATGCTCAGCATAGAGAACTGATGATCAAATTGCCGCTGGAGACTTACCGAAGTCCTATAGAAGGTCGGTTCTCCATACCCAGCGCCGGCATGGCCACTTTGGAAATTTTGATAATAGAGAAGAAGGAAACTAAAGGAACAGGGAGGAAGGAGAATCATAGGAACTCACGAAGATTCTCGGAATTGTGCATCGAAAGAGATGTGTGTAGTCTGTGGATCCAAGATGTGAAGTCTGTTCTTAGCTACTGTCGTTCTTCTGATCTGCTCTAGATATAGATGGAGGAGGTGAAGATGATTATTTGGAGAAAGAAGAGAAGAGATTAGAAATAAAAAACTAAAACCCTGGAGAAATCGATGGTTCTTTGATTCATTCGATACTGTGAATGGAGGAGAAAGGTAGAAAGCAAGTCATGAGTGTCGTAATTTGCATTTGGGTGTTATAAGGAAGAAAAAATTGAAGTATTGAATACCAAAAATACCTTTAATAGCATAAATTACAATAGAGGGGCTAAAGTGCCTCTACACAATATCATTCGAACAGTCGTAATTGCTATTTTACAAGGCAATTTTTATCAAATGCCCCTACTTTCGCCTCTAATAGTAAACTTTCTAGTAGTGGCAGCCTCTAGGCCCTCTACTTGATGCTATTTTATGGGAAGGTTGGGAGGGGGAGGAAAGAAATGGCTAGATATTCCTAATAAAAGTCACTCCGGGAGTGAAGGAGAGATCGCCGAGCTTAAGGCTGAGTGACACAGTTGAGGCAGGAGGTTATGAGTAACGCGTCAGTGAGTACAAGGCATCGGAGGAGATGTAGTTGAATATGGACGAACACGTTGAGATTTCCTTCACGGCCGGGTTCAATCTTTTTCGAAGGATCCTTCGCCGCCATCCGGAGTTGGCCGTTGAGTTGCAACGTTGGGATGCTTTGATCCAAATTCTCCGAAATTGTTGAGGGAGATGAGGTCGAAGCCGTTGGCGGTGTGAACAGTTTAGTTAAATGTTAATGTTTCTTTATCTAATCACGTGTTGCTACACTTGTGCCTCTTTTTCCAGCCGAAGCCCATCTGGTCGGGTTGTTGTGTGTATCGGGCTGGGCTATGCCTCTATCTTGTGCGACTCTATTGGTCGGAGTGTGGCCGGTCGCGCTATTGCGTGGGCCTGGGTCGGTTGTGCCTTGGGTGGCCTCTTTGTACTTTGTGGTTTTAGTTTGTTAGCCGAGGTATAGTCAACCAAGGTATGGTTGGACGAGGCATAGCCAGCTGGGCTATGCATCGGCATCCCTAGTCCTATGCCAGCCGAGGTGTAGTCAGCCGGGCTATGCCTCGGTGTCCCCAGTCCTGTGCTAATCGGGGTGTCGTTGGCCTAGGTATATCCGGCCGAGCTATGCCTCAGCACCCCCAGTCTTGTGCTGACCGAGGTGTAGCCGACCAGGCTATGCCTCAGCGCCCCCAGTCTTGTGCTGACTGAGGTGTAGCTGGTCGGGCTATGCCTCAGTGTCCCCAGTCCTGTGTTGACCGAGGTGTCGTTGTCTGAGATCTTTCGGTTCTCGAGGTCTTAGCCATGGGACGCTCAGTTTTTGGTCTCGGGAGCCTTTGGGGCCCTTCTAGGGCTAGCCGTTTCCTAGCTAGCTTAGTCGTTAAGCCGGCGGTTGTGCGGAGTTCCTTGACCGCCCTTAGGCCTTGGCGGGCAGGGGTGTTCTTCCTCCACGTTTAGGCTTAACCATTGGCAGCTAAGTCGGGTAGCTTGCTCGACAATGTGCTGTCGAGCTGGGCATAATGGGCTCAGCCATTTGGGGATCGACGGAGTCAGCTCAGTTGGCAATACGACTTAGCATGTGCATATGTGGTGTGTGCAGTGGGCGTGGGCGTGCCTCTATGTCGAGGAAGTAGCTTAAAAGGAGACTTTTATTGCTTGTAGGTCTACTAGTAGTACATCCTGAGGTTTTTCGAGTTCAAACTCCTCGGTATTGGTCGATATTCGAGGTTTTCAAGTCTTTAAGTACTCGGTCCGAGGACTCTGGTGACCATGTATGACCCTTCCTAGTTTAGTCCGAGCTTTCCTTCTCCTGGTGTGGGGACTATGACTTTGCATAGAATGAAGCTGTCTGTCTTGAATTCGCGTCTTCTTACCTTAGAATCGTAATGTCGTGTCATCTTCTGCTGTTGTGCAACCATCTTTACATGTGCTCGGTCTTGAGCTTCTTCTACTAAGTCCAACTCTATGCGTAGATATTCATCATTCTGCCCCTCGTCGAAGAGCTTGGTCCGAAGGGTTGGGGAACCTATTTCCACGGGGATCATGGCTTCGGCCCCGTAGGTCAAACTGAAAGGGGTCTCTCTAGTGGCAATTCGCGGGGTCGTCCTGTAGGCTCAGAGAATGCTCGACAGCTCCTCTACCGACCTTTCCCTTGGCCTGATCTAGGCGTGTTTTCAGGCCGTGTAGCAGGATAAGGTTGGTTACCTCGGTTTGCCTTGGCCTGATCTGGTGATCGATCCTTAGGTCGGCACAAAGGGCCTCAAACTTCTTGTCGGTGAACTGTGTTCTGTTGTCTGTGATGAGCACACACGGGATACCGAAGCGACAGATGATTCCTTGCCAAAGGAATTTTCGGGCATTGTGGGCGGTGATGCATGCCAGAGCTTCGTCTTCTACCCACTTCGTGAAGTAGTCCAATGCTACGAGAAGGAACTTCTTCTGCACAATCGTGGTGGGGAAGGGGCCAAGGATGCCTATTCCTCATTGGGTAAACGACCATATGCTAGCGATCGGCTTCAAAGGGGCCGCAGGCTAGTGATGGAGATTAGAGTGACGTTGGCAACTATCGCACTTCCGGACTAACTAGGCGGCATCCTGCTTCATCATCGGCCAGAAATACCCCTGTTGGAGCACCTTATGGGCTAGTGTGTGCATGCTGGGGTGATCTCTGCAAATGCCCTCATGTATTTCCCTAAGGACATAGTCTGCTTTGGCTGCGGAAGGCACTTCAAGTACGGAAACGTATGGGAACGGTGGTAGAGTTGACCCTGTATTAGGCAATACCTGGCTGCTCTGTGTTGGAGTCTTTTTGCTTCTACTCGATCCTCCGGGGAAGTGCCCTCTCGAAGATACTCAATTATGGGGTCCATCCAAGATGAGCCATGTTGCACTGGAAGGATGAGGATGGTTGATGGTGCGATGCTCGGTTGGGCCAGCATGTCTAACCAGACAGTTGAGTCAAGGTCGATCTGCGGCAAGCTGGTGAGTTTTGAAAGGGTGTTGGCTCGGGTGTTCTCAGCTCGAGGGATTTGCTAGATGTCGAAATGATCGAGCTACTAAATGAGATCCTACACCTTCTGTAAGTAGCTCACCATAGAGGGAGTTTGAGCCTCAAACTGGCCATGGATTTGGTTGACCACGAGCTGAGAGTCACTAAAGGCCTCGATTCATCGTGCCCCAAGGTCCAAAGCAAGTCGGAGCCCAGTAATCATGGCCTCATATTTGGCCTCATTGTTGGATGCTTTGAACTCAAGCCTGAGGGCGTGTTCCAACACTACGTCGTCCGGGCCGAGGAGGATAAGGCTGGCATCGCTGCCCTGCTGGTTTGACGAGCCATCTACATGGAGGGTCCATGCTGGGGGCAGTGGGGTTGGTTCCTCAATAGAAAATGTACATTCTGCGATGAAATCTGCCAAGGCCTGGGCTTTGATCACCGGCCGGGGTGCGTACTCGATATCGAATTCACTTAGCTCCACGCTCCACTTGACTAGGCGACCTGACACTTCTGGTCTTTGTAGCACCTGCTTAAGGGGCTGGTTGGTGAGTACTCGATTGCTGTGGGCCTAGAAGTAGGGTATGAGTTTTCTGGTTGCAATGACGAGAGCCAGAGCATACTTTTCAAGATTGGAGTACCAGGTCTCTGCGCCACTGAGGACCTTGTTGGTGTAGTAGATCGGCCTTTATACCCAATCCTTTTCTTTGACCAGTACTGAGCTGATGACCTCATCCCCGGCAGAAAAGTAGAGCAATAGCTTGTCCCTTGGGCTTGGCTTAGTCAGGAGGGGCTACGAGCTCAGGTACTACTTCAGCTCTTGGAAAGACTGCTCACACTTTTTTGTTCAGTGGAAGTCCTTTGGCCGTCTGAGGGCTTTGAAAAAGGGAAGGCACCGATCCACGGACTTGGACATAAACCTGCCAAGGGCGGCTATTCTCCCAAGGAGCCGTTGCACTTCTTTGTGGGTAGGGGGATGGCATATCAAGAATGGCTTTTATCTTCTCTGGATTTGCTTTGATTCCTCTCTATGTGACCATAAACCCCAGAAACTTGTCGGAGCCAACCCCGAAGGCGTACTTGGTTGGGTTTAACCTTATCTTGTACTTTTTCAATGTGTCGAAGACTTCGCGGAGATCGGCCAGGTGGTGTTCAGCCTTTTTGCTCTTCACGAGCATGTCGTTGACATATGCCCTCACGTTCCTAACAAGCTGTTCTTTGAATACCTCATTCACCAGCCACTGATAGGTGGTGCCAGCGTTTTTGAGGCCAAAGGGCATACCTTGTAGCAGTACAAGCCGTGGTCAGTGATAAAGGTCGTTCACTCCTGGTCGTCCGGGTCCATCCAAATCTGGTTGTAGCCTGAGAAGGCATCCATGAAGCTTAGGAGCTCATGTCCTGTCGTTGCATCGACGAGCTGATCGATCATTGGCAGGGGAAAGATGTCTTTGGGAAAGGCCTTATTTAGGTCAGTGAAGTCGAAGCAGATTCTCCACTTTTCATTGGCCTTCTTCACCATCACTACGTTGGCCAACCAATCGGGGTATTTGACTTCCCTAATGAAGCTAGCATCGAGCAACTTTTGAACTCCATCAGCTATTACTTGCCACCGCCCTGTGGCAAAGTTTCTCTTCTTCTGCTTCACAGGTCGGTAATGGGGATCGACGTTCAGCCAATGTTTGATAACTTCAGGATTGATCCCAGGCATGTCCTCAGCCGACCAAGCAAATACATCGACATTATACGTCAGTACTCGAACAAGTTCCTCTCAAAGGTGGTTGCCTAGCAGGGAGCCAACTTGGACTGTCTTTTCAGGATCTTCCTCAAATAGGGGGACCTGGACGAGGTCTTCCATGGGTCGGCCGCACTGTGCCTTTACTTCGTCACGCAGGTCATATGCTTTCGCCATCAATGTTTCGGTTGTTGAACGTGGTCCTCGACAGGATAATTGATAGCAATGTCGCGCTGTTTTCTGGTCTCCGCACGCTACCACTATGCCATACTTTGTTGGAAATTTAATGGCGAGGTGGTACACTGAGACTACGACCTACAGGGCATTGAGGGTCGGCCTGTCGAGGATCATGATGTAAGAGGAGGGGCAGCGCACCACGATGAAGTCTACCATGGCCGTCACAACCACATCGCCGTCTTCGATCAAGAGGGGAAGAGGCTGGAGGAACTCTCCCGAAAATCCCATCAAGGGAGTGCTAACTGGTTTAAGTCGTTTTCTGTCAATGCCGAGCTTTTCGAATGCATCTTCAAACAATACATTGGCAGAACTCCCAGTGTCAACTAGGATCCGCCACAGCTCAAAGTTGGCCACTTTGGCTGTGATGACCAAGGCATCGTCGTGCGGTGTTTGGATCCCTTGGAGGTCGTCGTCAGTGAAGATGATAGTTGTGTCACGCCTCCTTTTGTGATCTCGATCGTCGATCTCACATAGTCGAGCATATCTTTTCCGTCTCGAGCTGCTTTCCCCTCCGGCGGCGGTTCCTCCCGATATCATGTGGATGACGCCGACTGGGGGACGTCAGGGCAGGGGTTGTCAAGTTTCATCCACTCTTCGTTCCTCTTGGGTTGACTTCTCCTTTCTGTCTATGAAGCCACTATGATAACTACGCCTAATTAGATCTTCGATATGGTTGCGTAGGTTGAAGCAGTTCTCTGTACCGTGGCCGAGGTCCCTGTGGAACTCACAATATTTGTCTCGTATCCTCTTGTT